GCAGCGGGAACCCGCGCGGCTGGCGGCCGGGGCAGGGGCAGGAGGCACGACGAGCCTGTCCTTGGGCTATCGACACAGCTCCATCGGTCTGCTCCGGCTCGGCCTCGCACTTCTCATTTGCACTGGAGGGAAATGGCGTGAGCTGCTTCACCTTGCCAAGATGGGGACTTCCACAGGAAAGGGCCCTGCTGTCACCTGGCCTGGAGAGACCCCAGAGGCTGCCCAAGCTTTGCGCTGATCTTCTGGAGAGACCCGAGAAACAGCCTTTATATAAACCCTGACCAAGAAAGAGGAAAAACAGTCGAATTAAATAGCTGGGTAATTACTGTGGTGTAAGCTAATCCCCGAGTGTTTCTGACATTGGCCAATATAAATAATTTCACTAATAAATTTGAAAGTCCAGGTAAGCCCTCAAGCCTGAGATACCAAGCAAGTGCTCCCAGCAGGCTGAAGCCAGCGCTCTTGCTCAACACCCAGGAAGAGCCAACGGAGTCCAAAAGAAAATCCTGATCTCTTTAATTACATGGTACAGACAGAAGTGGGGGTGAGGAGAAACCTAAGACATGCAATCAGAAATTCCACTTTTGGAGACACCCGTGTGACTGTGACTGATGGTGTGAGGGGACCTTGCTCCCCAAAGGTTCACGGAGCCTGCGCAAATGCAAGGGGAGAACACGCGATCAGATGCTGGATAATGCAGTGGAAATTGTGATAATCTCAGTAATATTCTTACTGATTTCAGCAGGGTTGCGGTGAGGCTGAGAAGAAAGGTCTCCCGCCCAGAGAACGGGCTTCTGAGCCCCAGCCCTGTGCCCGTCCCGCTGCGGGAGAGCCGTGCGTCCTACCAGAGAGCAGACCGGCTGCCCAAAGCGCTCCTCCGGGCTGGCCACGCTGCTGCCATCGCTGTGGCTCCCATGCACCAGCCCTGCCTGCCACCACGGCGTCCTCACTCGTCCCCCCCGGGTACCCCACCAGCAGGACCCGGCTCTGGGAGTTCGCCCCTGTAGAATCCTGCAGCACGGAGTAAATTTACTGCTTCTCTTCATTTCTGTATAAAATGTGTCACGAGGTTTAATCTGCCATCACCTCCCTCCCTGTGATGTACGCGGTGGCTCTCTGCTAAGCCCAGACAGGGAGATTTACATCTTACCTAACAGGAGCCTAAGATTTATAGATAACTCCCGGTCAGGAATGCGCCCTGCCAGAAAGGCACCTTTGTGCTTGTAACCTGATCAGTCATTATGCTGTGAGTTGACATCTAATTAAGCCTCCGCAGGGATCATCAGGTCCGGAACAGCTCTTCAGGAGAGGAAAATCCACATCTAAGCAGCGTGGTGCCATCTCATCCCGGCAGCTTGTCCCCAGACCCTTGCGCTGCTGTAAATGATAACAACGCTCCACAGATAAATCTCCAGTGCTGCTTCGGGAAGAGCTGCTGATATCATCTACGCTGGAACAAGGCCCAGCAGGGGCCAATTTCCAACCTGCTGCTCTAAAACACAGCAAAGACTTGTTTCTCAGAGACTTTGCTAGGTCGTGTCTATGTCCCCACTGATGTCAGATGCCACAAAACACCTCACGTGGCCCCAGGGGACTCGTCTGGAGGTTGCAACATTCTCAATGGATTTACTTCTCTGAACACATTTCTTCCCTCTAAATGGCGATGTCAGATGCCACAAAACACTTCATGTGGCCCCAGGGGACTCATCTGGAAGTTGCAACATTCTCAATGGATTTACCTCTCTGAACACATTTCTTCCCTCTAAATGGGCTGCGTACTTCAGCGTCGATGTGTAAATCCTGCTCTCCCTCAGTAGGCTGCCAGACGTATATCTTCATATTTCCTCTTGACACGGCTCTTTAGATGCCTTCAATGGGAATGCACGACGTGGCTGAAGCTCTGCTTTTCTTGGCATTTCTCTGTCGCTGCGAAGGAACGGAACGCAGCACAGCGCTGGTGAGAGCCAAAGGCTTCAAACATGTCAAGATGCACCTGGAACCAGCGCCCCATAACTCACCTCGCCGGCGCACAAAGGACAATGGAAGCCTCCCCGGCCGCAGGTGTTTCAACAAGCGCTGAACACCTTACCCCTTTCCAAGGGATTCAGACCAAAATGGGCAATGCAACCCTCTCTGCAAGACTGGTCATGCCTCAAAGCTGAAATCACAAATATGGGGAGGAGGGGGGAGTCAGGACATAGAGCACGAGGGAGAGCTGGGCGAGACCGTGGAGGATGCGCTTACATGGCATTTGCCGGTAGCCCACGCTCTGTCCTCCAGGCCAAAAGGAAGCCAGGAGAACATGATGGACCCCAAGCACAGGAAGGAGAGGGACTGTGACTCCCTTCCATGAACGTTTTCTATGCTTGTGGAGACATTACCAAAGAGAGTGGACGTCACCCACCACTATTTTTACCAGTTGTAATAAATATTGCCACTGGCTTTTGATTGGGAGTGGGTTCAAGAGAGGCAGAAATTGCTGCACGTGGGCCATTCCGGGGGTTAGAGGAGATGCCTTAAAAAAGCCTGATCTGCTGTCTGGTCTAAGACTCCCTGAACCCAACAGAAGCACTTCTATTGCCCTCAACAGACTTACCCAGGCCTGGTGGAAACGGAGGGCATCTGTGCTCTGTTGCCAAGACCTCCTTCAGCACAACACGTGCGGGTCCCATCCCTGCTGGTCTGAGCTGCTCAGCTGGGAGGGTGACACCACAGCAGCTTCTCGCTGGTGTGGACATGGCAGGCGCTGTCCCTGTGGTGTCTGGAAGCAAGCAGAGCAAAGAAACCGATGTTCGCTTTCTAACAATGTTTGATTTCTTGGCACCCTCCACCCAGAGACCTTTCTTTGTGCTCCTCAGTAACACCACAACGAAGGCGAGCTGCCCCAGCACCTGCGGCCCAGTATTTCATCTCGCTAGGTCAACGACCAATGTAATCAAATTTATGGGGAAACAATAAAAAAGGTGTATAAAACAAAGTGTCCACTCAATGTACCCTCCTGGTTTCCAGCCCTCTTTGCCAATTCCTGCCCCACCAGCCTTGGCTGTGAGGATATATAAAGCCAGCACAGCTCCTTGGTACAGCCACAGCAAGACACGGCTGGAGTTAGAAGGATGGGAAGACTGGCCAGGAAAGGTAAAGATGCATTTGCAAACTCCATAGCTTGATGCAGGCGTTGCTTGTACTTACTTTGGGGTGTCTCTGTAAGGGTCAGTGCTCATCAGAAGGCCACTTTCTGCAAAGACGGATAGAAATGTGTATGCTTTCTGCAGGTTAAACTTTCTGGATTACTTGTTTTCGTAATATTGTAAGAGCCTTACAAAAATTATAAACAATCCCCAAAAGGTCTTCAGACAGGTGGATAACACCCTCACCTTTTTATTTGATTTCAGCCTCCTCCATAACTTCCACTCATTCCTGAACTAATTTTGGCTCCTGTTTAGTTGCTGTTTTACACCTGTAGGCCATGAGATGCTCTTCAGCAGGCACGGCACCGCTGTGAGCACCACTGGCTTCCAACTCGCAGGAGCTTTTCAAGGCTGAGCCTGCTGTCAGTGCTTTTAAATCCCCAGGTGCTACACGAGAGCTGTGCGTTGTTATCGCACGGAACCGGCAAGCTCAGGACCACAGACCCAACCCGGGAGCGGATCCATGGCTCCCGAGCGTGGCTCCACGCCTCGGTGGCCAGGCCAGGGCCACGCTGCTCTGACCAGGCTGCCGTGGGTGCCCTCCTCTTCCAGGCACCGGCATGGTGAAGCTTGGCCCTCTGAGCATCCTCCTGAGCCTCCTGGTCCCCACTCATGCCATCAGGTCACCTGACTGCGGGGGCATCCTCACCCCATCAGGCCTGAGCTACCGTAAGTGGGGACCTCGCATCGCCCACGCCGTTAGCGGGGAGGGGAGGCAGCAGCATCGCTCGGTCCGGTGGTGACATACCAGACACTGCCACCAGAAGCTTCTGCCACTAATCAGCACTAATTGCATAATCCCCTCTCTATAGCTAGTGACTGGGGGGGGAGGTAAGGGGTGGAAGTGTGTCTCCTGGAGGGCTTTCGGTCTGTCCGTCTCTGTGCGTCAGACCACAAGCACCAGAGGGTCTCGTACAATATCTGCCCTGTTTCGCAGTCGCTGAAGTTTCAAAGCCGCACGCAGAGACCGTCCTCAGGCAGGACCTGATGGCCCCAACCGTCCCGGACCTGTTTCTCGGCTCCCGAGAGAGGTGAGTCCGCAGCTCTGCCTTGCCCAGGCTTTGCCACCGCACCACCAGTTCGTGCTGGTGTTTAGCTGGAGCCCTTTGAATGTCGTCACGGAAGGCATTTTGCCAGCGAGGGCAGAAATCCTCCTGGAGACCAAGACGGGCGTTTGCCGGAGCAGACAGGAAAGGAGCTCCCGGCTCCTGCTTCGGGGTCTCAGGGCAGCAGCCCCAGTGCCACCCCCGGGGCACGGATCTACCCATGAGCTGCGCAGATCTCCTGGGCTTCTGGGGTTTGCCCGCTGTCAGGGCAGCCAGGGACCGCACGTCAGTCGCGCCGGTCTCCTGACTCCTTCATTTCTGCTCCAGCAGGAACCAGATTGACTCCGTCAAAGTCGCCGACCTGTCCCTGTCACTCATCCCCGACGCCGGGCTGCGGCTGAGCATCGATGTGGACCTCGGCGTCACACCCGCCCCGTGAGTGCTGGGGACACGGGGCTGGAGCCAAAGTGCCGGGGCCGCATCCAGTGCCTGCCTGCAGGAGCAGGGGGGCCGGGGCGAGCGGGACCAGAGCAGCCCCCGGCTCCAGCCTCTGCCTCTCCTCCCCGGCACAGCTCGACCACCAAGGAGATGAGACTGTCCATCCTGGCGGACCTGCACGTGGAAATGAACCCCGAAGGGAACCTGGAGCTGGTGACCTCCACCTGCAAACCCACCGTGGAGGAGACGCAGAGCACCGAGGAGATGGAAAGGTCAACCCTGCAGGTTTACTTGTTGTGGGATTTGGGTAATGGGGAAAAGAAGAAACTGAGGCACAAGCATTCCTAGGCAGGAAGGGGATGGGACTAAGATCTGCTCAGTGCCCTAAAAGTTTACAAACGTAACACAGAAACTTGTCTTCATGTGAGAAACTTTGCTCTGTTTGCAGGGCTGGTTTTCCCCATTTTAAGAGTTTCGTTCTCTCATAAGGGAGCAGATCTCTTCAAGTAGCATAGCAGGAACATTTTGAATGCAAGCCCAATGGCAATTCTTCAGTATTTGAGGCTTCTGAATTGTAATCATAGCTTAATAGATGATATAAAATAATGACAATACTGTCTCTGGAGGCCTTTTGGGTCAGATAAAAGATGCTCACCTACCCTTAGCTGAGCCAGTTCTCGTCTAACTTCCTCCGTTCTGTTGTTTTCATCCAGCAAGTCCTCTAGTTCAGATGTGGACAAGGTGATTAACGTCGATAAGGTATGATCAAATCTGTAAAGGTGTGAGACAGGAGAAAACAAAGTTGTACAGTTCTGTAAGAATTAAATCACTTTGAGTCAGCCTGGTGCTTTGCCAGGTGCCCCCACAGCCCCTCACATGGGGTGAGGAGCAGCAGCCCTGTGGTCTCCGAACGCCGCCGTGCTCCATCTCCTGGCTGCCACACGGCCAGGCGACGGGGATACCGGCACCAGAGGCGTTTGGGGGATGCCTGATGCCTGCAGACCCCCCCTGTTCATCTACCACCCCGCTTTTTGGTCTTTACTCCATAGATTTGCCTGGAAGTCTCCAAATTGCTGCTTTTGCCAAATGAACAGCTGGCATCTCTGACTGGTGAGTGGCTTTCAGCCTCCTCACAGACAAAGGGCTTCGGGGCTCATCTTGGAGCAGGTCATGAGATGGGACAGGGTCCCACCCAGCAGCAGAAACTCAGCAGCAGCAGCTCCACCGCCATCATCTCCCTGGGGACCCACCGCTCCCTCCGCTCGGCTCTCTGTCCCAGACACTTCCCAGCCCCAACCTGCCGTCATTGCCCCCCTCCTCTTTCTGAGCGTCCCTCTGCTTGCTTTGCAGCTCAGTTCCCCATCACGCCGAGCTGCCAGGGCCAGTACCTGCCGCTGGCTGCACCCATGTTCTCCGAGCAGGGAATCACCATATCCTTGCAAGTAAGTCCTCACTTTCCAGCACTCACAGCTCAGCCCGAGTCTTTGGAGCCACCTCGTCCCAGTGCCACATGCTCCAAAACACCTCATACTCCTTGTCTCCTCACCCGTGTCCCTGCAGACGACTTTCCAGGTGGTGGGGATGGGGACCCCCCTGCCAGTCAGCCCCGTGCCGTTCAGCATGCCCGAGCCGGCGAGCTCCAGCCCTTACCACCTCGAGCCGGCGAGCTCCAGCCCTTCCCACCTCACCCTGGCTTTCTCCGAGCACTTCTACACCAGCCTCTTCTTTGCCCTGGAAATGGCTGGAGCCTTCAACATGACTATCCCGGTGAGTAGAGCAAGTCAGCAGGGAAGGAGTAGAGAATGTGTGTTTGGAGGGACAGCCCTGCCCCATGAAGGGCTTGGAGGAGCTGTGTGTCCTGCAGAGAAAGGAGAGTTTGTCTCTGAGTGCCCGTGGGAGCCACAGCCCCTCACCCTCGGGCTCCCAGAAATCTTGCTGGTCTAATGATGCAGCGAGAATTTGCCGTGAAGGGTAAGCAGAATGCTGCTCCTGGCACAAGCTGGTGTGCAGGGAGGGTCCTGCCCGCACCCACACGTGGCACAGCACTCGCCGCAGCGCCGTGCGGGACACGAGAGTTTGTCTCTGAGTGCCCGTGGGAGCCACAGCCCCTCACCCTCGGGCTCCCAGAAATCTTGCTGGTCTAATGATGCAGCGAGAATTTGCCGTGAAGGGTAAGCAGAATGCTGCTCCTGGCACAAGCTGGTGTGCAGGGAGGGTCCTGCCCGCACCCACACGTGGCACAGCACTCGCCGCAGCGCCGTGCGGGACACGAGCCCTGTGTTCAGGAGCTCGCCCCGGGTGGTGCTGGAGGAAGACAAGGCGACCCTGAAGCTCTTCCTCACGGTCCACGTCGGGGCGGGATCGCCGGCTTTCCAGAGCTTCCTGAGCGTGAACGTGGTGAGCGTGCTGTGCCAGCACGGTGATGGCACTCTGCGAAGTGCAGCAGGCAGAGCCCTCTGCTCCGCGACCCGGCCCGACTGCAGCCGTGGCAGGGGAGGGTTTTGCGCTTACCTGCCCCCGGCGCCACGGGTCACCCAGCCCAGCCCCCTGCCCAAGCAGGGTCACCCAGAGCAGGCTGCACAGCACCGCGGCCAGGCGGGGCTGGAATATCTCCAGAGAAGGAGACTCCACAGCCTCCCTGGGCAGCCTGGGCCAGGGCTCCGTCACCCTCAGAGGGAAGAAGTTCTTCCTCATCTTCAGCTGGAGCTTCCTCTGCTTCAGTTTGTGCCCGTTGCCCCTTGTCCTGTCGCTGGGCACCACTGAAAAGAGCTTGGCCCCATCCTCCTGACACCCACCCTGCAGATATTTGTAGGCATTTATAAGGTCCCCTCTCAACCTTCTCTTCTTCAGGCTGAACAAGCCCAGTTCCCTCAACCTCTCCTCGTAGGGGAGATGTTCCAGTCCCCTCCTCATCCTCGCAGCCCTTCCCTGGACTCTCTGGTCCCAGCAGCGTTTGCCTCCCTCGGGCAGGGCAGGGCGTGAGGAGCTCGTCGTAGCCGGCAGCACACGGACAGGTTCATCGGGTCCCACTGTTCCAAGCTGAAGCAGGACGGTCTGCTCACTCTGACCCTGCCTTCTCTTTTCCCCTCACAGGACATGTCTGCAGGACTCCTCCTCAGCGTTGCCAGCACCAGGATGATGATCTCTGCAGCAGCGATAGAGTAATGAACCCAGCTATGCTGCAAGTCCTCGAAAGGCACAGTCCCATCTGAGCAGGGGAAGGAGAGGCAAAGGGGTCCAGGGGATTTCTTAGCTTTCACAGTTTGGCCACCGCAGGGCTCTGTCCCGAGGGAAGTGGTGAGACCCCAGCCCGCGCCAGCACAGCCTGCCCGCTGCAGCAAGGCCCCACGAAAGCCGTTCAAGCCTGGGTCCTGGCGACGTCCTCGAGCCCTTGCTGCTGTGCCTGGGGGGGGGGAATTGGGTCCCAGCCGCCTGCTCAGATGTACCCCGGCACAGAGCTCACCGCTGGCTTGGCCCTGGGCGCAGCCGTGGTGTCTGGGGGAACGTGAAAGTCACTGCTTATTACAGCTCTTTACAAGCAGCTCCTGCGCTGCTCTTTGTTTTCCAGGGATGTCGAGCTCAGCCTGGCTGCCTCCGACGTGGGCCCCGTGCCGGTAGGTGCCCCCGGCTGCACACCCCCCGAGTGACCGAGCGCAGCCGCGTCCCCTCCTCACACGTGCGGCTGTGACTTGCTGAATGCTGCAGCCCACGGCTTAGCACCGTCCTCCAACCGCCCGGTCACGCTCAGCTCCACCAGCCAGCTTAGACCACCCTAAAGCGTCCCGGGCAGTGCTTGTCGGGAGGGAAATACCTCCTTTGGGTGCTGGCTGCACCGTGCCGAAGGGCGAGGCAGGTCCGTGCGGGCTTAGGAGAGGTGCAGTGAGCATCAGGACCCCTCTCTTGCTGGTCCCTGCCCTCTCCTCCTGCTTTAGAGCCACGAGCGAGCTGACCGTGGCTTTCCCTCTGGCAGGCTGACTTACTGGAGGAGCTGTTTCTGCCCACGGTCCGTGGGGAGGTACCGGCTCAGCTCAACGGTGAGTTTTGCAGGGGTGCTGCCTCACGGGATGCACGGCGAGGACGAAGCCAGCACCCAGCTGGCAACTTTCCCTCTTTCTTTTTCTAGTGGTCCTGAGCGAAGGCGTATTCCTGCCCCACATCTCCAGCTTCACCTACACCGACGTCAGTGTCGTCATTCACAAGGTAAGAAATGAGAGATTTACATCGCTCCCTGCCATGTTTGATTTAAAGGGAGCCCGGGAGCGACGCTTACCTCCAGGCTCCAGGATAATTCGGAGCCGGCTCCTCTAGCCCCGTTAACCCACAGAACCAAGTTTCCTGGCTTTAAACAGGCGTAGTTCCTCTCCACCCGCCCAGCACGAGCAGTACCTGTATCAGAGGGGCTGCCGGCCGGCGGGGGGCCCGGTGCTGGCTGGTGTGAGCCACACGCGTGCTTGCTCAGCCCTCGTTCCTCCCCTTGCTCAGGACTACGTCTTGGTCCCCTGCAACCTCCAGGTGAGGACTGGAGAGCAGACCACCACGGGCTGAAGTCCGACGTCCGGAGTAAAACAGTGGCAAAATGGTCCCGTTGACTCTCAAATCATGCTTTGTGTTTTGTCACTGCTCGAAATGTTGAAAATCTTCTTTCTTGCCTTTCTAAAACAACACTTGCGCAGGTTTAGGATAATAACGGCGTTGCGCCAGCAGCTTTCTCTTCCAGTCCTGCTCTTGGTATTTCTGTTGCACAAAGATGATGGATTGTAACAATGTTCCATAATTTAATTAAACATTTCTCTTCCATACTGCAGAATCTGGTATGACTATTGACTGTTTTCCCCTCAATGATTTGTACCTAAAGACAGATAAATTTTGTCCCGCTAAGAACTGGTACCAGAACAGAGGTCCAGACCTCACATTTAATTCAGGGGGCATGAAAATTCCAGTAGTTCATAAGGATGCAAACCAGCCCCATGCCTCTCAGCTGCAGAACGACATGGCCTCTACCAACAAGAGATCTTTCATCTGCTTTTCCTCCATTTCTCGTGTTACTATGGGAACATTACAGCTGGTGGTTTTCCCTGGGTCAGAAAGAAGTGGAAAAAAGGAAAAAAAAAATCCATCTGCACAATGGTTTCTAATTTTAGACTTGAAGGCAGTTATATTTTCAAAACCATACTTCTGACAGAGCTCATCAGAGAGAAGATGCTGGATGAAACGTGACCTCACTCCTATAGACGGAGCTACGCGCCGGCCCCAGGGCACCCGCCGCTGCGTTGGCCAACGCTGGAATGCTCTTCCCTGCTGACCAACCATGCCCCTGCGCTCGAGGGG